TCGCTCCGACGAGGCCGACGTCATCATACGCGACAGCCGTAAATATTGTGATTAACGTAAGAAGCAAGGTACAGGTCGGGTTCAGTACAATGACCCGGCCGACACAAGCCGGGCTCAGTCACGTAGCCCGGTCAGGCCAAAGTCGCCAATGTAAGAAATGAATACAGAGCTCGAACACGAAGCTCGGCCAGGCCCGACCGTCGTCCGACTCAACTAGTAAATAATCGGACAAGTAGCACACCAAGTAATAGTCGAGTGCCGAGCCCGATCATGAGGCTCGGCCATGTAATAAAAAAAAGAGAGCCGAGCCCAACCATGTGGCTAGGTCAAGTAATAAATAAGTGCCGAGCTCGATCATAGAGCTCGGTTAGGCAAAAAATACCATCGAAGTGTCCAAACACAAAAAACCGAACTCCAAAAATAGTTCGACTCAACAAAACGCTCAAGGGCCCCAAAGCGCCTTAAAATTGCACATTAACTCGCGATGAAATCACCATTTTTCGCCAAAATTGACAAGACAAAAAGTGATCTCATGAATCACGCAAAAACTATCCGTCAGGCGCGCTCGTCTACATATTTGCGATTTCACCAATATCTAAATCCTAACGCAATAAATAGAGTTCGAAGCTCAAAAGACTATGAGGCGAAAACACCGCCAAATTGTTAAGAATAAACGCGACTTCCGAACAGTTCCTTACAGAACATGCCCTAAACTCGGGGGCCTCCTGTTGATACCCAATTTGGCTCTAATTAAATAACGATAAGTAAAATAATAAAGTAAGGACCAATGACCGAGGAGTCAAAAGTACGCAATAAATAAATATACAAACAGGTTCTCGACACTGATCAACCAGAAGCCGACAGGGTCCCCAGATGGCGAATACGCCGCAATTGCCAAAAAGATGGACGTCAATCGGAACCGTCAAGAGTCATAAGCGGGTCCCACGAGGATTATCTTATACTAAATAATGTTGTACTATTTTTTTATTTATTTTATTCACCACTTGTAAAAAGGTGGGGGTGTATATATATGAGAATGAGAGGAGAGAGAGGGGACTTTTTCTTTTTTTTCTTTCACTATTCATCTTCTTCCTCCCAACAACTACAAAAAAAAGGAGAAAACTCTCCCATGGAATACAATGAGCAACCATTTTCAATTATCTTGTTCTTCATTTTCATACGAAAAATTCAATTTATATTTAACAG